TATTTCGCTACACAACTCATTTGAAAATTTAACATTGGCCTTATGAGTTACTAAGTAACTATGTTGGCTGGACAATATAACAAGGAAAAGTAAACAAAATACCTGTAACATGTTTGTACAACAAGTCATCCACAGTATACTAGCAAATAAAAAAATACAGTAGGCCGACATGGGAAAAACCTCAGTTGTAGCTATTTAGCAAAGATTACTCGACATAGAGGGAAATAGGGCGAGTAGAGCGAGTGTATCGTGTTGGTGACGTTTGAGTGTACGACGTCAACTCAATGTTTCACTCTTATTCTCTTTTATTGTTTACATAATCTGTATTCATCATCAATCATAATGATAGTATTTTAGAGAGTATGCTCATGCTGAAGTTTTACTAATGCTTAAAGAAACATTTAATTTAGTACCAAGAAAGAAATCCAACCCCTTTTCTAACGCTGTACTATGCTCTATTAATTCTGTAGCTGATTGCCACTGTAGTAACCTATGATTGTACGTTAATAATTCCTACAATAGGAACAAAAATTAAAAAATACCTCTTGTTTTAACATTTTTTATATTTTTATTTACACCGTAAGAAATGTGTGAGATTGAAATTAATTGATTTGTTAGATTGGCAAGTTAAAATTTCCATCATAATAAATTTAAATTCCACTGAAACTTAAATAATAAAAGCCGAAATTAGTTATAAAGAAAGCATGAGTTTCCAATATATTGCTTTTACACTCGAAATAAACATAAAGAGCCATGGCTCGGTCCCCTGGTACTGTTTTGTTATTTAAGTTACCATTGAGGAGATTTTCCATAATTATTAGTGAAATAAAATTTTGATCGACGTTTCAGGACCGGGAATCTGATCCCGTACTCAGGTACAAAGACACAAACAACAAACACATAACAAGAGTATTTAAATCCGCAATATTGTGTATGTGTTCTTAACCTCGTTTGTTGCTTTTGTGTTATACTATTATAAACGGGTTTTTTACTACTATACATACAGTTCAATGTATGGTGTTTATGTTTTACCATCCTTGTCTCAGTTTTAGTATACTTAATTAGTTAATCTTGTTATGTTTTAGGAACTTTCCCATCTGAGTGCAGGATCAGATTCCCGATACCGAAGGTTCGATAAAACCTTCAATTACTAATATCGTTTATCATGACAACAGTTTAACTTAAAAAAATAATCGTTTTAATTTTCTATTGATGCTTAAGATAATATCATTCATAGTACTGAAGACCGCGATCAATTGATAAAATGAAGCAATATGTGTCGCATCAATTAAACTGCCTTTTCATTGCAACTATCTATACAATACACAGATAATGCAATATCCCACATAAAAACTAGCCACTTTTCGTTTACCACCTGTGATACATAATATTTCTTTAACTAACTCGACCTCTGATATTTATAAATGGACCGCCATCACACATGACATTTCCACCTCAATGCCAACCTGTTCTGTGTTCGGCAGTGCATCCATATAGATATCCTGGAGTAGATGGTGATCAGAGTAGCTACACATACACGGCGACAGAGCTATATATAAAAAGGGTACAGACTCTTTGGCGTTTCTTCTAATCATTAGACTTAAAAGAAACGTAACATATATGTGCACCACAGCTGCTACTAGTACAAGGAGTTTGCCTCAAATGTGGCCTCACAGCTCAACTACAAATATCAATTGCATAACAACAGTACACATTCTTGTTGTTGGTCACACATATGTACCGCACTAGTTATGAACCTCCAGTGAAACCTAAAATCCAAAATATTTTACTGATATCGGCCGCTGATCTAAAAACTCAACTATAGTCTTATGCCTAAGATCAACGCACGATCTTACAATTCCAATCGTAGGTGTTACTCATACTCACGTTTAACTTCAGATTTTTTCAGCAATTTAACTTAAGTCACACAGTTATAGGCCACAATTTTGTAAAGCAGCACTAATTATACACTCAAGTTAATCCACGCAAGCTAGACTTGTTTAAGGCTCAAATGTTCAACTACAGCGTCATGTCACCAAAAGCACTCTCATACTGTCAAGTCTCATAAACTATATACGTTAAACAATCTGTTTTTGAGTCAAATCCTTTTTTACAGGCTGTTGTTTATTATCATTTTCAAAATTTAAGATTAAATATTTGGTAAAGTCAGACGGAATCAAATATAAAATTCCCGCTCTTATTTTCTTATTTAACAGAATTCTTAAATAGTATTTGTATTGTATACAAAAATTCAAACATGGTAACTCTGCCTTTGCTAGTTAGTATATATTTTAAAGATGAACAACTTACTTTAAATCGTCTTCCAAATGAAACCCACCACAGTAAACTTGTAAAACGTCTAATCAATAGAATTTCTGGTTAGTATTGTACCAATAGAAAACCACGCAAATAAACACCATTACTTTTATGTATTTAAAACATCTGTGTAATAAAGGATTCTTAAAGGTGGAAAGTCTTTATATTTAACGAATATCGTCAAAGAACAATTACACCAAAGAAATATTCTGCTACGAAGGAACTATGCTCAGTGTATTAATGTATAGTACAAGCTAACTAAAGTAAGCCTATAAGTATTTAATTGTTGTATAGTATGTTTATATAATGACAAAATTGAAACTGTAATAGATATAGCAACGGCATCAGTTCATTAAACAGTCAATAACATCTTTGACAACTACACACTACGACTCACAGAAAACTAATTGAGTGTGTTTGGGACGTCTTAAACTGCAGGTAATGAACACAATTTTATTTTATTTTGTAGAATGAAATTCTTTTCACGCCTTTATTAATATCATTATCCCTCCCCTCCCACTCAGAGGTACGCTACTCGTTCATAGACTACTATGAATGGTAAAAAAGACTATTTGCTCGTATCGATCAACTGTTTACAGATTTGAGTTGTATCGTAGACTACATAGTTATTCCGTAACCATTAACAACTGCAGACTAAGACTAATATGTATGTACTGTATATATAAATCCAATATACATATCTGTATTATATTCTCCGCTACAGATAGTGTTTCGCTTTCCTGCAATATAAAGTAAACCAAATAGCTTGTTTGATTGGAGCGTGTTTCAATCGTTACATGTGTTACTGATATTTTCTCAATATGATCTAAGTATGTTACTTTGCATCCACCAACAGTTAATACGTAGATTCTCATTGTGATAAAGACTACATTACAGATCCACGATACCTCGATGCATGGAAAATGATTGACTTAAAACTTATCCCCAACACAATCAGAATCATAATAGTAATTTATGCAATCATTTTAATGTTAACACCTTTTCAGTAAAAAGGAGATTCCCCAACTAAAATCTCACTTGCAAATACATAACCAACATTTTCTTCCGGTAGTAAAATGAGACATGAGACAAATAAAAGTAGTATTGTAATTATTTCCGTTCACGGGAATAGTATAGACTTACTTTTGCACATGCAGAACCGTAAATCTACAGTGTTCATGAACAATGAACATTAACTTCAATGCCAATGTAAAACCAGCAATAATAGTGCATTAATATAACACAACACGTCCCTTAATAACATGGTGAGGAGTGGGAATGCGTGTACATTGGGCTTATTCTGGTATGTACTATATGTTGGCCTATACAGTAGTTTTAGAGAATTTCCCTAAAGGGAAGAAGCTATTACTGGAGGTGACACGGAAAGACCTCGAACAACAACAGATTTTTTTCATTTTGATGTCATCAGAGGCTAAAATCACCATTTGTTAAAATTGTTATGTATGTATATAAAACCAGATGTTCTTATTAAAACGCGAGAGACACTTTTTAAACTGTATTTTTAAACCAGCTCATATCCCTGTTTTCTCTACTTCATTTCTGATCAGCTAATATGCATTATTGCAAAGATATCTATAAGGTTTGTGCTATTGATAATTTATTGTAAACACGACTCAACACGTTTTTTTCAGAATCTCAAATGGAGTAGCCTATGTATTATAGGTCTAAGTGGTTTTCTGCAGACAAGGTTTTCTTAAATATTCGACAATCCTATGAATAGTTGATATTTTAGGTACTGGAATAACACCTGGTGTACCTAACTTAATTTCAAACCTTTCTTGACATTAAATCCAATGACTTACTTTTACAATACAAACTGTTTGAGCTTGCGAAAACACCATGTTGTGTTGATAACATTGATAACAATTCCCAATTACACATAGATAACAATGCATATCAGCTGTTTGCCAATGAAGTACCGGAAATGAAGTAAAGAAAAATGTGATGGCAAAATATGAGCTTATTTTTCGTTAAAATGTCTCACGCGTTTTAAGAAGACTGGGCGAACAAGTATATACAGACGAAGTATATACAAGGCGAATCACGTAAAGTGTCCACTATTGATTTTAGACTAACTTTCCCTCAATAATCAAATAACATTTGTCCCACCAAAACAACCCCAAGTAATAGCTGAAAACATTAAACATTTTTTTAAATGTTCAAATCCCAAAATAATTACAAATTAACTCGTTCATAGCTCAAGATTGACAAATACTTAAGTATGTCATATTGAACATAATTTTAAAAATTTTGTTGATACAAAAGGTTTGACGGAAGCAACAGGAGCAGCAGTCAGTGGGGAATACATATAGCTCGTTATGAATATATTTTTATAAAAATCAGACAAATTGAAATTCTTTTATTCTGTAGGCTTGCTGTGGCGAGGGTATTATTTTATTCACATCAATTTACTGTGGGACGTTTGTTTTTAATCACTGGACCAAAAATATTAAATTCAAAATATGTACTAAAATACAAAAAAATATTCCTGAAGAAGTAGGTATGTTGATTTAAAGTTAGAGGTAGAATATAGAATGTCAGCAGGGTGTAATGCGAGGTCCGGGGGCTCGGATGCCACAGATTTGGCAGGGTCCCGGAGTCACCTACCTTGAGACAGTTTCATCATACAGGTATATAAGCGACGGTTGCCAGGGAGTCTCCACTCTCACACCATGGCCGCTTATAAGGTACGTACACAACTACACTCTCAGTTCACAATTATTGTTCTATTATGTTTGATAAAATTTTTGTTATTAAAAAAAATATATAAAACATGTATTTTTGGCAACATGCACCTGAATTAGATTTTTTTTCAATCTTGTAATTACCACCCCATTCTTTAGTTTGGTTAAGTGATAATTTAAATATGTTAGGTATGTAATAACGATGTGTTTAATTAATTACCTTATAACTTTTAAAAATGTAGTAAAAAGAAGTTTTTGTATTAGTTTAGTTTATGCATGAAATAACAACTCTCACTATCTGTAGTGATCCGTCACAAACAAATGTGTCAATTCGCTGACGTTTTGCATAGTATTTATTTAAACAGTAGATACACAATACCTGTTTATTTGAAATGTTCATTGTTTATATCTGATTCATTCTGGATTCGGTTTATTTCGTATTCACTAACTATCTTTGCTTTGCGAGACGTAGCTGTTGTATTGTTCAATGCATACATTATAAATATACCCATCATGAGACCCAGGCGGCTCCCAACAAATAACATGTCAAGCCCAAAACACACAGAACACTTTCCGCGCAACAAATAGAGACAACACTCTTATCGTCTGTATCCTTTCCCTTTTGCTTTCATGAAGCTTATATTCATTTTTCATCTCGATTTCAAAACGTTACTTTTTGAAAATGTAGTAAATTTAATACTAAATTTGAATAAGTGTTCTTTGAGAAAAAAAGAGCCTATGCACTTTATCATTTTTATTGAAGAGACTTTTTCAGATATCTAGTATTATGGATTAATAAAAATACATACATCTGACAGGTGAAATATAGTAATAAAACGTTATTTAAAATCTCGCATATAATCACGAAACAAGTTCCTTCAATTCAGTCACTACCGGTACATGAGGCATGCGATATTATTCTGCCTAATCAAGATCACATACATTACAAGAATATCGAGTAACGAGTGTAACAAGTATTTCTAAGTCATTATCAAGTAAGTGCTTTCTTATAGTATTAAAACAAATTAATTATTTGTTAAGGCTTAACAGCTCAATGAAACATTACAGCATTTTTACCCTTGGATCTGCAAGTTTTTTATCCACTCAAATTTTGTAATTTATTTTTACTCGGTTCGAATGAATCTAAATAACTTAATAAGGAGGAGTTGCCACTAGTTATGCCGTGTATACTGGTTGAGGCCATTCACCCCTTTGCTGTAGTCCTTTCGTAGTAAAATATTATTTATTTTGAATCCAGATGGGCAATCATAATTTACCAATAGTAAAAATTCTTAAAGGGTTTAGATAGTTGTAATTCTTGATCATATTATTCATCTTTTTTTTTGTAACAGATGCGAGACTAAACATTTGATAGTAAAATATTCCTTATCGTTTCCAAATAAAAATCATCCAATTTTTTTTTATGAAAGCATTGTGAAATGGGTTGAAGCGGCTTATTAATAAGATATAGTAAGGCAGATGACGTTTGCTCATGACATGTATACATGATCAGCGTACGCGTACTGTAATACTAAATTGGAGTGAACAGTTACATCTAGTTAGGTCACCTACTTTACCGAGATTATTTAATATTTCGGAATTTTAATCCCATAAAATTGAATAACTTTAACTACTTGACCACTTACTTATGGTCAATAATTTAATACCAGGGGTTGCATATATCGCCAGCAATACAATAAAACCTGAAGATTTAAATTCGCAGCGCATATTTACTGCACTTCTTGAAATATTATGTGTTTATATGTTTACAAATGGTCTTTACCTATAGCTTTATTTACCCAATCACTAGAGTGACTGATCTACCGTGTTTTGTCCACAGTTTGTCATCCTCAGCGCCCTGCTGGCCGCCGCCCACGCAGGAGGCCCTGCTGCCTACCAGACTTACTCCCCCTCCATCAGCTACGACGGTTTCGTCGGCTCCAGCCACGAGAGCACAATCAAGGGCTACCACGGCGACTCAGTGTCTCAGATCTCCAAGTCTGTCGTGTCCCCTTACTCCTCTGTCAGCAAGTTCGTCTCCAAGAGCACCGGACCTAGCTACGCTTACGCTCCCACAGTCAGCTACGCCGCTCCCGCCGTCTCTTACGCCGCTCCCGCTGTGAGCTACGCCGCACCCACTTACGCCGCCCCCGCCTACGCTGCCTCCTACTACGGAGCTGGATACGCCGCCCCTGTTGTCAAGACAGCTTATGCCGCTCCCGCAGTCTCCTACGCCACTCCTGCCGTATCTTACGCTGCCCCTGTTGTGAAGACCGTTGCCCCTGTCTCTTATGCCGCCCCCACTTACGCTTCTGCTTACTACGGTAAGGCATACGCCACCCCCGCTGTCTCTTATGCCGCTCCCGCTGCCTACCACGCTCCTGCCGTCTCTTATGCCGCTCCCGTCGTCAAGACTGTTGCTCCCACTCTCTCCTACGCCGCCCCCACCTACGCTTCCTCCTACTACGGTAAGGCATATGCCGCCCCCGCCGTATCCTACGCCGCTCCCGCTGTCTCCTACGCCGCTCCCGTAGTCAAGACAGTCGCCCCTGTCTCCTACGCCGCCCCTGTGGCCTACGCCGCTCACGCTCCCGTTGTCAAGACCGTTGCTCCTGCTTACGGATACTCTGCTGCCCCCTCAGTCGCCCATGTCACCTACGGCTCTGCCCTCACCAGCTACGCCTGGTAATTCTCCAAACACCTCAGCTAGTCTGTACCATCTGTAGAGATTTATTTAGTTACCGACTAAATGACTGAATTTTTATATTTATTACACATTTGTTGTAGAATGTAAAATACATTTCTTTACAGACCAAACCTATGCATTAGTATTATATCCTTCAATTTCTTATTTTTAAGTAGAACCATATCTTCCACCAACTGTAGTTTGTATTGTATTCTTTAATATAGTAAAAGAAAAATACTTATAGGATCAAGCCATGGTAGTACTAAACAATTAAGGGGGCAAATTTCCGTGAACAAAACCTCCAATATTTTGCCAAAATAAATATTGAAATTAAGTAATTGTTATGAGTATACAGTTTTATAAAAACCTCGAGCCAAAAAAGATCAATCTGGTTATGTTCGGCATTCATGTATACTTATAACTTTAAACGTTCGTATTTTTTATTTTTTTTTCTTATTTCATATTTTTTTACTTTCGTGTTCATGCCACTTAATTCTGCATGTGTTATTGTCTTAAATACTATTGCGGTAATTTCTAAAACTGCTACGTACAAAAAGATGCTCCGTGGCATAATGCATTCAGGTATAGAAAAAAGGAAGAGTACCGGTAAGTGTTATGTTCACCGTACAAATATCTATACACTAGTTATCATATAATAATGCAGCTGAAGTCAAGGGCAATAATGGAAATCAGGAAGCTAAAAAAATAGGACATATAGGTTTGAACTACTTCCCCCTTAAAAGAATTTGTACACAGATCTTTTTAAACTACTTAGACACTACAAAACAAAAGAATTCTGGGAAATATTTAAAAAGATCAGGCTATGCCTTTATTGCCATTAAAGCCGTAACTATGTGGATACGAATCATCCGCAGTCTTGTAGTGAAGTTAATTGCAGTCAATGATTTGGAATGCATTTAAAATAGTCAGTAGTATCCAATAACTGCGCGAGATTATTTTGGAAGTGTCACAGCTTCAAGATGTATATTCTTTTGGATTCATCAGTCAGAGTAAAAGACAAACTACTCTGACACAACTGAAATTAAACAGTAACGATACCACGTCATCGTTCATCAAATTGGCAGTGGTGAGTTAGTTTTCTCCTGCTGACCCATCAGCAACTACTATCAATGTTTATCAGTGATACAGCGTTCTATCACTACAAGTTAACATTCTAACAGAAAGAACCAATGGAAACGCATTTTCCATTGATGTGAGATATATGCATGCTACAAAATCTAGTTTGCAGGTTCACTAGTTAGAAATAATAACTATCCTAGGATATTTAGCTACAGAAACACCCAGTAACTCGAAGGTCGATGTAACTAAACAGTCAACTGACCTAACCCACGAAAAGAGTTATTTAGTTTTTAAAATTTAGCTCAAATTTGTGAATATTTGACATTTCTTTGATAATTGTTTACTCAATATATATAAATACCCATCTATGTAGGTAATTAATTTATATGTAAATATTAGTCTGTTATGTATTTAACTATCACAACCCATTAAACATTTAAATGTTCGGATAACTCGCCAACCCCCAAACCCGACCATATGTGGGTCCACAAATTGTCAACTTAGTGATGAGCTTTTACTATATCATATATTGGTGAATTTCTATTTTTTTAAATAAATTACAAAGGAAATAAAAGGTTTAACCTCAAAGGCAATGACAAATATTCTAAACATACTCAGGAATGAATGCTGTATACTGTACTGTATGTATCGTTTAATCAATTATATTAATTGGTTACGCCACTAAGTGTGTATTTTAACCCAAATATGAGTGAAGGATGGGTGTAGGATGGGTGGCGCGATCTTTCAGTCTTGTTAGTGACTAAGGCCGACATATTTTCAATATTTTCAGATCCGTATTTGCAAACCTACCTACCTCTGACAAGTAACTATACTCAACGTAAAAATACTTACAAACACGATCATACTAATAAATATTTTATAACCTAGAGGATATTGTATTCAAGAAGTATCATCTTGGACGTAATAGAGGAGTAGTCATCTTACTCCAAGATATTTATTAATATATTTCATATCATACTAGCAACAGAGCCTGCTGTGGTTAAATACGACGGTCTCTACAAAAATAGTACATAAAATGCTTTATTGACAAAATATAAACAAAGATAACTCAAGGAAATAACAATATAGCAATCAGCTGTTAAATTATTAACAGATGTTCCATATGATCAGATTATGGGTACCGACAAACCCATAATTACTACAATAATATTGCAAATCCCCGCCGCGCCGCAGCAAACTTGCAGAATAAGGGAATTTCCATTTGTCTGATTTGATTTGCAATTAATTATATTTAAAAAACAATATGTTTAACGAGTACCTAGGTTTGCTGCTACAGGGCGGCTAATAAAGTGTGTTTTTAGTAGAATATTAAAACCTTGGTAAAATAAATTTACCTAGTTTGATCAAATTATATACAGTAGACTACATTTTATAAACAAGCAAACTACAACATTTTACAATATTCTCCACAAAAATAACATAGTAATTTTAAATTTGCTTCGTTACCAATAAGCGTAAAAAATAACAAACATGCTGATTCTGTTTTTTACTCTTTAAAGTAGTCTAGAAAGCAATAAGGAAATCTTTTGTTTTGAGGGTCAAAAATTAGAAAAACAAATGTTTACACCATAAAACCCCGTTCCCATGGTCCGATTATGCTGGTTTGCGAACTCATTCAAGTTTATGCCACCCTTCACCTTTAAGACAAATTTCATCAAAGTCGGACAAAAATTACTCGAGTTGTCGTGTTTACGGGCACACACACATAATATAAATTTTTTTACGGATAGTGTTTTTGACCTCTGTGGACATTCAAATAAAAAAGTAAATCGGTCCCAGGCCTATGTCCCACATTAGACCTACAGTAAAAGCTACTTCCCTATAGGGAAATTCACTAAAATCTAACTTTTGTTACTATTTTTTGCAAATATACACGGATGAAGCTTTCCAACGACGCATCAATAATTGACAAAATCAATCCAGTAGAACTGGAATTTGGTAGTACAATTTTTAAACTGAATTATTACACTATTGGATTATATTTTCCAAGCAAGTTTTAGAATGAACGTAATTATTGAATTAAACCATCGAATAGCACAGTGCCACTGCCAACTACTAGCCTAATTTCTGCCATATACACAAACTATTTAACCAAAAATATCTAAAATGAACACTGATTGTAATCCATAGCCATTTTATAGGACTTCCGTTGAAAGTATTAAACTCTTAAAGAAAAAAAATACAATTTTGGTAGGAGTATGTTCTGTTGTATTGTGGAATTGTAACAATTGTTGGCTGGTCAATACAGATGTGATGTCTACCCACAGTTCCCAATCAGATTATCGTCATGTCAATCATAACAGTTTGTGACAATCAGCTGGTTGCCTGTTTGTTGCAACATATGTGTCAGGTTCAGTGTTGAGCTCACGACCTTGTAGGTCACCGAGGACTGTGGCGTGAGAGTGCGAGGACCTCGGTTACATAACCTCCAACACAACTGACGGGCGACGCCCATCGTCTCCAGGTCATTGACGACCACTATAGACTGACTACCTACACTCTCGCTCTTCTTCCTCTTCACTCCCCGCACTTGTGCAAATTACTGCAGTTTAAAATAGAATCCGGGGATGGATCATGAAATCAAAAACCAATTAAAATGGAGTGAAAAGAATTCTAACGGTTAATGTTAGGTTCCCCTTATGTTATCAAATATTTTCACAGTGCCAGAACAATATACTGTAGTAAATAAATTTAGGCCAATTAATTCACTCCTATAATATCTCATTTGAAATTCAAAGTAACAAACTTCGTAAGTCTAAATTATTTACTACGAAGTTGTAGATAAATTTTATTAAGATTTAGAAACTATGCATGTTAAAAGGGCAAAATCTATTTAGATTGTAATATAACTGGCAACATTAACGTATAATAGCTTCGCTAGGCTACAGTTTACGTTAATTTGTATTTTTTATTTTTTTATACACACAGTTTGTTTTTTTAGCAATGAAAGTTTGTTACTTTTTTGCCAAGTATCAATGTCATCCTAGTGCATGGGCGCTAATCCCCTCAATACTCACACATCTTGCTGAAGAAGACACACACATACACACACACCAAGTATCAATGTCACAGTTTTATTTTGTTTATGAGGAGTTTAATAAGTGAGAAAATAAGTAAACTTAGTCTACCACAGTTTAATGACTTAACAGTGCTGTGATACTTTTAGCTTTGAGTACTAAAGCACAGTATTTAATACCAGTTGAGTATATTTTACCCATTGGATTTTAACTTAACCCTAACGTCAATATTAGCCCAAATCTGTAGGGACCCTGTTCCATCAACCGGATGAAGGAGTACAAGGGTTGTGGACCGTTGACAGTTGACCATCGTTTATTATAGTGCCAGGATAGTAAGTGATGAGGTTCATCTCCGACACCTATCTATCATCCTTGAGTTGGTCAACACCAACCCTCAACACTTTCACTCATGGACTTCACTAATGCAACGTATAAAAAAGGAACATATTAAGTGTCGATGTCTTCCTAGTGCATGGACACCAATCACCTCAATACTCAAACATCTTGCAGAAGAAGGGACACATACACACACCAAGTATCATTGTCATCCTAGTGCATGGACATCAATCACCTCAATACTCACACATCTTTCTGAAAAAGGGCCAAACACCAAGTATCATTGTCATCTCTAGTGCATGAACAACAATCCACTCAATTTCTAATAAACTCAATTTCTTAGTAATTCATCATAGGATATTTAGCTTTTTATAAAAAAAATCAGAAAGACAAGAATACAGCATATAAAAACATTAGTCCTACTGAAGAAGGGACACACCAATTATCTCTATAATCCTGATCTTAGTGAACATCAAACCTCTTCATACTTACACATTCTACTGAAGAAGGTACACCAAGTACATATCTTTATATTCATGGCTCTAATGAACACGAACTACCTTCCCTCTCCTAGATCACACAAATTGATACACCCCTCTAGTGAAGGAACGCATCTACGGTTCAATTTCCTCTCCACCCCTTGTAAAATTGTTATGTGAGGTATCATCTGGTATTAA